TCTGTTGGACTTTCTGTCAAAATACTATGCTGAAAGGCGCGTTGGGCTACAGTTCTTCCAGTTCTTCTCAGACAAGCAGGGGAAATATAACTTTGTCCTACACTCATTTAAAGAAGTATCACTCTAGGACGGGTTGTTCAAAACAACTGTTCAAAACAACATTCTGCACGTGTAAAACTCCATACATTCGCCGCATAGATTGCCTTTATAACGCACAGTAAAAACTGCAATATCCCCGCGCATAAAAGTTACTGAAAGTTCGCCAAGATGCATGAGATACAGCAACGCACTCACTGTCTGTTTCCTCCGTGGACTCAGCGCTTATGGGCTGTGGGTCTTGAAAACAGCCGTCCTATGAAAACAGGCTCCTCTCCCTCAGATGGCCTATATGATGCGCAATCTTTAGTTAAGCAAGCAGCAATAAGCTTTTCCTTCCCCCTCACACCACGACTCTCTGAATGGTTCCCGATATGTTGTGGCCCTTGTTGTGATGAGCAGAGCTAAGTAGCTGCTACTTCCTTGTCCTTCCCGGAACCGTGTGATAGTTTAATGTGGTGACAGGAGAAAAGACCCCCGTGGAGCCGCTTCATTAATGTGCCACTTCTTCGCTATCACATGACAATCGCTTTGGGAGGAGAGGAGGGGGCTACTCGCTCCGAGGAGAAAGCAAAGGCATAATCTGGATTCATTTACACCTATTTACATGGACACCTTGAGCCAATAGAAATAATTTCAATTTGAAGACAGAGCAAAGGGGTGAAAAGACACAGCGACCCACCGGATTTGAAGTGTGAGGGTGGGCGATGAAAGCCCGGTTACGCAGTGTGAAGGTATGCAGATAACCTTTTGTGGACCGAGAAGGGGTGCTTAGTCAACTATTTGCGTTTAAAATAGAGCTACTAAGCAATTTGATGTTTGGCATGGAGGGCCGTCGCTTCTTGGCACAGCCTCGCTATTTGCTCTGTATTGTCATTTGTAAGTTTTGTTTCGTGTTGAAAGACGTGTCATTGCTTACATTTTAGTTTGAGCTGTTAAGATGGAAAGTGTGAATTGAACTGATGTTGAATCGACATTTTTGTGTACCAATCTGTGATCTATAGTCATCTAACTGGTGACTAACATAGTTTGTTTACTCTGTCATTTTAATTCATATAAATTAACGTCTTTACATGACTGTTAACTGTTAATTCTCCTTTGGGATAATATACCATTCTTTCCTGAATGTATTTGCTGGAGTGTATTGTAAATTGCTCAATACACTCCCCTTGAATACTGTTACTTTTGTCTGACTAGTATTTTTCCCTCCTTTAGTGTGGTGTGTGTGTGTGTGTGTGTGTGTGTGTGTGTGTGTGTGTGTGTGTGTGTGTGTGTGTGTGTGTCCATTCAGCGTCCGAGAGCGTGCACGAATTCATGTGAAAAACTTTGTTTGGAGCGATCGATAAAATGTATATCTTCTAACTAGTTATTGGGGATATGCTGAGTGTGTTATGCACGGTATATGTAATCCCCAAATGCACAATTAATAAACGTTTGATTTGAAATGTACAGTTGAATATATGGGATACATGCATATGGTGAGGCGATGTTTATAATTTGTTTATTTAATTGTTTCAAGTAGCCTACAAAGGTATAGGCCTAATAGCAATACCAATATTTGAGTGTTTACCAGCCGACTCCCACAAAGCTGTGACAGCAAACGTCCAAACAAAATACACTTTCTACGCGGATGAACAGATTTAAATTAAGCCAGCCATTGAAATGTAAATCTCTGGTGGTTACGAGTCTTACGACAATGCTATAGAAACTGTATAAAATACCAATAAGTCAATTATGTGAGTGTGAACCTAATGGGAGCGTATTCAGATCAATGGACATTCTTCTCTCTGTGAGCTCACCCTCCCAGCCAGGCACCTTCCCTTTCTGCCTGGCCACATCCCAATGAGAGGGGACCACACACACACACACTCTCGGACCAACTCATAATCTATGCTAATTTCTCTCCATGCGTCCACAATACACGGAATCATGATTCGGACGGAAAAGCTGCAGGGGCGAGCCAGAATAAAGCTACTCGGGATGCAGGCCTGTGGTAATCCAACCCCTTTAGAGTGAAACGGTGTGGTGCAGGCAGTCACTCATCATCTGTGGTTTCTGTTGCGATGCTAATGTCTGTGAACAGATTGGACAAGCTGTATGGATGTTGGTATCAAAACAGTATAAGAAAAATACAAAAACTCAATGTATATTTAGTTAACATTATTATTATTATTATTAGATTATTGTTATTATAATACAATGTTTACAATGTGTATTGTCATTTCAGCGTCAAGGGGGTAAAAGGCCCTGACTTTCGGATATGTTCACAGTGTTGCACAATACAATTCCCATCAAACCATTTAACCTTTTGATTTCAGTTAACTTTTCCTTAACATTTAATCATCTTTTACGCTATTGATCTTTAGCTGCATCTGTCCAATACGTTTTATCTCACAAAGCTGCGGATTGAGGAAAAATTCCGCTACCATGATTCTGAACAGATGAACTCCCCTTTCTCCCGTTCTCCAAAAGAGCCTGTTGAATCCCCAGTAGATCAACTGTATAATGTGAGCGCTGTTTGGTCATTTGTACAAGCGGAACAAAAGGTTGAGCTAAGCCAAATTGCATTGCACTTGTGAACCTGCTCCTGGTCTGAAGTAGCTTTTTTTGCAGCGGCGGAACGGAGAACAATTTTGTGCGACCCAAAAGGACTCAAACAAAGGCGCTCTCCGTTGCTCCTCTAAAGTAGAGTAGCGATGCGTGCCATTCCCAGGGCGACCGGGATAAAGAGTAGGGTCAGGGAGGGAGAAAGGCGGACCTAACAGCCACTTTCACACGTCGTCTCTCCACTGCTGCACCGGAGCACAAAGGAAAACAAATGTTGCCCCCCGTGAAAAAAAAAATCGCCTTCGTTCCAAAAGCAACAAATGATAGCTGAATATCCTTGTCAGGAAGATTGGTTAGTAAATGTAAATTGGGGGACCAATATTATGCAGAAACATGAACTGTCTCAAATGAGAAGTTCATTTATAATCTACTTTGAGAACGACTTGAAGAACTGCAAAAATAAATACAAAGAAAAAATCCCTGAAAAGGTTTAATAGCTCGACTATACGTTTCATACACATTTATAGGAAAATTATAGTGAGTTTTCATGGCACATTCTCGCCAGGAAAATATACAAAAACAACATGTCGCGTTACAGTGCGCTGGAAACAGACATGGATTTAAAGCTGTGAATGAAACCTGCATTCAGTTATTCATTAAAATAGAAATAATCACATTAGCCTATGACCACGAATTATTTATTATGGGCACACATCAGAATGTTATGATAAAACAATTATGGGTCAAGTCAAGTGGATAGGCCCACAGTATTAAAGTTTAAAAGGCCTACACTATTCCCAACCATAAAATGAAGTACAGATGCAGGATCTTAATTTGACCAGTTTCTCACATTTTACATTTACATTTTAGTCTTATCCAGAGCGACTTGCAGTTAGTGCATACATTATTTTTTTTCATACCCCCTGTGGGAATCAAACCCACAACCCTGGCGTTGCAAACGCCATGCTCTATCAACTGAGCTACATCACAGCATGAACATAATCATGCTGCAACAGGAAATGTGAATTATTGTGTGCATTATAATTAATGGACATTTTTGTAGGGGTTGATACATTTTTAGTCAGTGCAAATCAAGTCTGACATTTTAAAAGTGACAATTACAATATTTACAAGCCTTGTATAAAAGTTTGAATTTCCTGCAACAACAGGGGAGATCAAATTAATATCATACACCTGTACCAACCCAAGACATCAGAATAAATATATTGAAAATATATATATACTAGGCTATATATAAAAATACATAGAGAGTGGTTATAAATATCTAAAAACAGCAGTCCAGCCTCTGTGACCTGTGGATTTTCAGACCCCACTGTGATGTCAGTGAATCCTGGTGAATGTCATGATGTCTCTCTCTCTTCACGTCACCTGGTGCTGTTGTTATTGGATCAAGGTCCTGCTGTGATCGCTGTGCAGTAAACTCAACACGGGCCTCCTTCATCCTATCACTATTATTATTATTATTAGTCAGCTTTATCTGGAGGCAATGTAGATTTACTAAAAACTTTATGAATAAACAAACTGCAACTGCTGGCGGTGTAATTTACATTGTCAATTAAAACATTTGCATAAACAACTAATTAATGACATTAACACCTTCAAACAAACTATTTCACTATAACTTGCATAACTTATATAAAATAGGCCTATATCCAGTTTAATGCCATATATGTATTTATACTATTGCAACGCCAGGGTTGTGGGTTCGATTCCCACGGGGGGAGCCAGTTTGAAAACTGTATGCGCTCACTAACTGTAAGTCGCTCTGGATAAGAGAGTCTGCTAAATGACTCAAATCTAAATCTATAATAATTAATATTATTATTAATAATACTATTTTTTTTATTGTGACATATGAGGCTATTGTTATGAAGTAGTATATTTTACTTTAAACATAATAAACAGAATGCTATTTAAAACGTGTTTTTTTGTAGGCCATATAACCACTATATATATATATATATATATATATATATATATATATATATATATAAATTGACTTATTGGCAGGTGTCTGAGACGGTACTTTTACTCTGGTGAATCTGAGCATAATTTATTGTAATAGTTCATGGCGGGACTCTTTCATGAGCTGGTGCTGCACAGTACAATTAGTACCGTATAGCGGCGCTAACTAACGCAGAGCTACTGTATAGGAATATTATGAATATTCAAAACGACAGCGTCAATTAATTAGACTACAGAGAGATCTCATTAAGGCACTCAACGCCCTTTTAGTACTAAAGTAGAGGAGAGGAGGAGGGGAACAGGGAGGGAGGGGGGAGAGAAGGGAGTGAAGGGAGACGTGTTTTAGATTTAACGAACATTATTCAGTTCAT